GTGATCATTTGACCCCCCCGCCCCTCTCTTCCCCCGAGTGTCCAAGACATACGGCCGGAGGTCAGATGAAACAACCACAAAGTCGATCATCGTAGGCACAAACGGCAGTGAGAGACCTATCCCCGACCCGAAGGCGCAGGGAAGCGGCCCTCTCGTTCACCGGGGTAAACTCCAACACATGGCGGCTAGTTGGAGTGTTGGTGTTGGAGTGTATATACATATATATATATATATATATATATATATTAAATCCTGCAGGTGGCAATATACATCTGTGTGTCTGTGTTTATCACTGTCAGTCTATTTAGTGAAGGAGGGATATCCCCTTGGCTTTCTCATTAGGACTTATGTTGTGCTGAGCATATAGAAATGTACAATCAAATGTACGTGCCTTTTCCCATTTATTTATTTATTTATTTATTTCTTGAAACAGAATCTACAGTGGGCCCGAGATGTGTTGCTAGGAAGCAGTGTCCCATGGCAACAGCTGAAGCACATGCCAGCACAAGGACTTTTCTGTGAAAGAAACAAGACAAACCTGTTCAATGTAAGTCCGAGTTCACTGTGCCTGCATGCTTTTATTCCCCTGCTTCAAGTGTCATTATGTAATGACATATTGAGTAATACACTTTGATGTCTCCCGTCACCGCTGGGTGTGCTGCCAATGCAATATAGTAATATCTACAGTTGTTAAGCTCTCGTTGACATGTTCTAAATAAGGCGGAAATAACAAAACATTTCACTTGACTGACTCCTGACATAAACAGAGTTCCTGATGTTTTTCAAGGTAAGTCCAGTATAGAAGGAAGAACTAACAACACAACATTGCAGTGCCGTGCATTAGCTAAGGGTATTATCAAATAAAGAGAAAAACCGAAGCTATAAAAAAAAGATCATTTATTAGCTTTAATTTCTAAGCTCTTAAATGTAACCCAGTTCATTGGTCCAGCTCCAGTCAGTACATGTTGTTTGTAGACATGTTGTGGTAAGGTACAGAAAATCTGTTGATACTGAAGTAATGTTGGCCTGTCAGTTCTTTTTGGTTGTCATTAATGTAACATTAATCTGATCTTTTCCCATTGAAAATATAAATTTAATCGACAAACGTTTAAGAATTTTCTTCTGCTTGCTGTAGGCAGTAATGTCAATAATAAAATGTTTATGCACAGTCGTGTCGGTGAGTATTCAGACCCCTTCACTATTTGCACACTTTATTGGAGTGTAGATTTCATTTTAAATGGGTAAAATGGACATTTTTGCTCATCAATCTATACTTAATAACCCATAATGACAAAGTGTAAATATCTTTTTAGGGGATTTTACAGATTTATTCAAAATCAATTTTCATGTACAAAAGCATTCAGGCCTTTACTTCAGTACTTTGTGGCAGCCCCTTTGGCAGCATTGCAGCTTCCGGTTTTCTTTGGGTAATTTTCTTTCCTCAGGTTTTATTGGGTGACTTGTCCCAAAGCCACTCCACCATTGTCCTGGCTGTATGTTTCAGGTCATTGTCGTGCTGAAAGGTGAACCGTTGACCTCTCTGTATTTGGCTACATCCATCCTTCCATCAAGTCTGACCAGTCTCCTTGTCCCTAACACCGATCAGCCCCATGCTTCATCATAGGGATGGTATTATTAGCCAGGCGGTAAGGTCTGCAGAGAGTCCTTGGACTTCATGGCTTGGTTCTAGTCCTGTTGCGCAGTGTGAATCATGGGACCTTATATACTCAGGTGTTTGCCTTTCTAGACATCTGTCCAGTTAGTTCAGTTGGCCACAGGTGGTCAATCCCAAGGATGATCACAGTTGGTCTGAACAACTTTTGATTCTTAATACATTTGCAAACATTTCTAAAACATGTTTTCACTTTGATCATCGTAGGTTATTGAATGTGGATTGTAGGGCAAAATGAAAGTTTTATCCATTAAAAATTGAATCTACAACACAAAGGTGCAAAATTGAAGGGGTCTGAATCCTTTTGGTCATGGCGGTGGACTGTGCTGCAAGAGACTGTTCAGTCTTTTGTGTTTCAGCATCATCAAATGTGTAGCAAACACTGTCGCTGCTGGCTACAGTAGCTAGGATGCTGACAAGTGTTGATTTAAGCCAAGACTTAACTGAATGACTCACTTTTTAATTGGTTAATGCATCTGTCATTGGATCCAGGTTGCATTAATTTAGATTATTACATCATCATTAATGATTGTTATGTACGGCTGGAAAGTACTGAAAAACCGTTATGCAATGATAAGTAATTTTCGGACCATATCATCCCTCGGTATTTTCCATCACGCTTAATTTATTTGCCACTGTGATAATGAAACTGAAAATGTCTTGCAGTCCTAATGTCTAACAGCCCTTATAATAATAGATTCTAGCTTCTTCTATCAGCATACATAACTGTATGGTTGCAGCTAATGTAGATGTCTGGAAGAAAAACCTATGAGGTGCTGACAAATGATCTCTGTGTTTGTTGTGAGGGAATGCTTGGTGTACTACAGTTAGGTTTATCCTTTTCACATTTGTACATCCTTTACATTATGTGCATAATTCAATTGGAGACAAAAATGAGTCCTAATATACATGGAATCACACAGTGGAAGATTGAATTGTCTCTAACAATTACATGGCCTCTGATGGATTCCATTGGAGGAGATTACTGTCTAAATGTGTCATCTGTTCTGCATGAAGGTATTATGTCTTTTCGGTGTTGAGAAATTGGCATATTTCTTTCATCTGTTCCTCGTATGATTTAACAAAGCCTTAGTGCTCAGTTTTATTACAGACAAGATAATAGAAGCAGAATCCACATCAAGTTAGCACCTCATATCAGTCAGTTGTCATACCATATTTTGATGGTACATGTGTTTTTTGTTCATGTAGGCTGTAAAGTCAACTGCTTAGGCTTCTGGTAACAGACTGCAGAAGCGTGCGGCCAGGGCTGAGCTGGTGGAGAGCTCTGCTGTGCTCTGGCTCCTACTGGGTTCCCACAGAGCCCCTTCTGGAGGCAAACCTGCCACCCTGGCATACCAACTGTTGGAGCTTTACTGTTCCTGCAAACCAAGCCCTCCCTCTCTCTGCCACAAGACAGTGCAGATCTTTCTAAATATGCCTGTTTTCCTTAAGTTTATAAGTTCAGTGCCATTATTACATCAACCAAAAATGCATTGTGTATTCTTATTTCTAACCCTTCGTGTTACATGCCCTTTGAGAGCAACAGTGGATTAAGAGCTTTCCTCAAGGGCTTTTTTCAGTGGTGAATGAATATAGATGTCTTTGCGAGGTTGAAGTTAATTTGAACCGGAACCCTTGAAGCCAGCTTTTCCAAGTTGGTCTCAGCTGACAGCTGTGTTTGAGCCTGACTAATCACTCACTCTGCGTTTGATAAATACAGTACATTGTGTTTGTGAACAGAATGACCACAGGAGTGCACAAGAGCTGTTGTAAACTGACAGAGAGCGTTGATCGCATCAAACGTATGGCGCGATGCATGGCAGTCAAGGAGACTGTCAACTGAGATCACACCTCACTGATGTGACGATGAATACCGAGTTCCCAAATGTAGGTCATGGTGCCCTAGTTTTTCTCCTTGCTTTGTCTGGGTTACATTAACTGGGGCCTGCATAAGGTAACCTATATACTGCTGTTTACTGATTCAGATGAGTTTGTGTTGCATAATATATTGGTGTGGTTGTGGGATGAGTGCTTTCTAGTAGGCCCAGCTCACTTTTCTTTTTACAATAATAAATACATAATGGGTATGTAGTTGTTCTTAAATTAAACTCACAATGATGCAGAGTAAGCCAATGTTGTTATTTCCAGAGCCACATATATGGAACAAATAACTTGCATTACATTACATCATGGTTCAGTCTGTGGTCATACAGTATTGATACATGGACATCTGCATGATACTGAGGCAGATGTTACAAACATTTGGCTCGAACTGGTGTGCGTTTCCACTTTATGGCTCGTTTTAAATGATGGCATAACTGTTTACGATGCAGTATGCAGGTTAAGATGGTTCATACTCATGTGCTGCTCCACTTACTGCATCATACCAGCTGCTTGCAGTAAAGCTTTCTATAATGCAGTAAAGAAATCAGCACAGATCTGCTATTTGAAGAATTACTATTTCAGTGCTATATCTTAATTTACACAGATGATGTAATATCAATCTGGCCAACAATTGCAAATTGCAAAATCTCCTTATCTTGCAATGAAATTACTGTAGCACAATTACTCCCAGCCTTTGAAACAGAATATTGAGGCTGATATTGGTTATAATGCTATTGTAATACCAGGCTGTCTAGCTGCTCAGGGCTACTGTTGAGCGATTGCGAGGAGTCCCTTTGTGCTCACTCAGGCACAGTGTTCCCTCTGCCCGACACACCACACACATAGTCTTGCTTACATATTCTTCCACCCACACACACACTCTGTGAAGCTCCGGAGAAAATAGATGTTCTTGTTGCTCCATTTCGGACAAACACACATCCATCTAATATGAGTTTCGAAATCATTTTGTCTATTCAGAACCAGCTTTTGTGTTTGATTTGACTGCTTAGATGTAACTTTGGTTATAGGTAGGCCTTAGTGTTTTATTATATTAGGTTAGGATGGTCCTCTGGGAAACCTAGACACTTGCATTACTTGTCCCGGTTTGATGTATGACTCAAACATTTGTGTGTTCAGCTGTGTAATGTGCTGTAGGTAGGTGGAGCTCCACTCAGAGGATTTTGTTTGTGTTTTTTTTTTTTTTTTTTTTCTTGGGGGAGGAGTATTGACCCAGTGAGTACATTTTGTGGAAGTTGATATTCTGATTTGCATGGTGCATGGTTAAAATTTGGCTGATAGTATGTTTTTCATTGCCACCTTGTGCTCTGTGTTTGGTTGAGCTTGACATTTTTTCAGCAGTGGCGCGCACACACACACACACACACACACACACAACAGGAAGCAGGAAAAACAAGGTGTGTGTGCTTAGTATGTTTGTGGTGGCCAGCTGGAGAGACGCAACCAGCTGAAAGAAAAGAAAAGAAGAAGGTGAGGGCTGTTATCACTATATGCTGCCTGAGGAAATACTGTGTGTTTGTGTGCACAACAGAGTCTTTTCTGTTCAACCAGCATTGTTCTTCAGTCTGTGTTTTCCTGTGTTCAGTGGAGCTTTACTTTACAAACGTGTCTCCTCTCCTGTTTTATGATTCTTGAAGCATCCCAGTACATTGATGTGGTGGCTCTGAGTTCATATTTCAACCAGTTTGTTTTCTCTTTTCCTGTTGCTCCGTCTTCGGGGTGATCACGCTCTGCCCCTCCCCCTGTCTCTCATTTGCTCTACTCAGCTCGTCTCTCCATTGCACTCGTTAGGTTTCCTCATTACACTCTCTCTCGCCCCCTCTCTCTCTCACACTCCACTGTTTGTGTGTGTATTGTGTGGGTGTGCAATAATGGGCGGGAGTTTCTCCTGTTGCCTCCGATTGGCCAGCAGGCGAGGCCTACAAGGATTGGCTGTGCACTGTGTATAGTGCGAGAGAGAGCAATGGAGGAGGAGGAGGAGGAGGGGGGGGGAGGAACTCCAGCAGGCTGGGGTCAGGGGAAAGCGGAGATAGAGTGCGTGGGTGTTTTTGTTTTGAGATGGCAGGGTTTGAAAGCAGGAGAAGAACGAGTCAGCTTCTCTGTCAGTGGCATTCTGAGCTTATAGGCCCTGACTCCAGTACTGTTTCACCTCTTACCAAGGCAGCTGCCATTCTCCTCTTCTTCTATTCCTGTTCCACCGTGTGCAGCTGTGCTTGCCTCTTCTCCTCCTCTCCTGCAGCTCTGGCTGCCCTCGCACCCAAATGCAGCCCACCCCTTGCTCTCTGAGTGTGAGCCTCTTTCAGGGTGGAGGCGCTGCCAGGGCTGCTGGTGCTGCTACAGCCAGCAGGAAAGTCTCCAAAAGAACAATAACACAGGCACGGTGGAGTAGCTTTCTTTGGTGATGGTGAGTCTCCTTCTCTCTTTCCTTCTGACTTTTACAAAATCAAGCACATGTTTGTGTTAATTATGTGTGTGAGCAGAGTTCCCGTGTCGTGTTGTGAGAGTTGGTGTTGTACTCAGTGTGGGTTTTTTTTTTTTTAAATCACTGCTACACACGTAGAGTGGTACAGAGCTGCAAGAGAAAATGTCCTTCAGTAGTTGTTTTGGTTGTCTTAGTTCTGATTTCTGCATGTCAGCTGCACTGATGTGTAAAATGTAGCAAGATATGACATTACACCACCCACCTGCCAAGTTCTAGTAACATTAGCAGGTAACCAGCCATCTTGGATGTTAGAAAAGTGTCACGATCTGAAGTTGGAATTGAATGACCACTGGCTGGTGCTGGTTGTTAAAGGATGCGTTTACACTTTCTTGTTAAGTTTTATTCATGGGTATTACTGGGGGCCTGTGCCTAATTTGCCACTGGTGGCACGTTAGCATGTGAGTAAATGAAGCAGATAAGATGACACATCAAGGGTTTTCTTCTAAAATGTTGTTCAGGAGACAACCAACATCTTGTTTTTGCTTTCACACAGTAGAAAGAAGTAGAAGGCTAGTACATAGTCCCTGCCTCCATCATTTTTTGTCCTTTTCCTATGCTACAGCATTTACCCCTTTATGTTGATAATTTGAGTAATTAGGATTACTCTATGGTGTGACATGTCCACAGCCTAATTTTTCTCCTCATCCAAAGGAGTTTCTTGTCACATCTGTTATTCATCCTTGGTTTTCTGATTGACTTAATCTCTGAGATTTGTGTGATATATTAGCCACATCTGTGCCAAAGCTGTCACTCCAGATAACAAGCATTAGTTATTTTTTTATGTCACAAAAAAGGAAAAAGGAGATGCTTACATTTATTACAGTAAATCTGCTTTAGCTGTTGTGTTACAGCATAATCTGTGTAAAGCCATGGCTCTGCTTTCCCTAAACAGATTTGTGGTGGATGGTTCTCTGATGAAGAAAACTCTCCTCCATTAGAGATGTTTTTCTAAGTGAGCGGAGCCCACCCCCTCATCGTACTTTTCCCGCTCCCGTTGGAGGCTTTTGGTAATCTGTGCATTGAAAGGTTAAAACCTTGTCAAGCCCTGGCTGACTGCATCATATAATAATAAATCTTCTCATTTTCACACAGGCATTGGAGACTTGCGCTTGTTCTTCAGAACCACTGGGTTATTCTACCTGTGAAGTTGATTCTCTAATATAACAGAAATAAAGAATGAACAATCTGAGAAGAAGATAGTTATTTGGAAATGAATATTAGAAAATGTCTGTAAGCAGAAATTAGCAGCCCCCATGAAGTAAGAATTAAAATGGTGTCCTTGACTTGGCATTTTTCAGTGGATTTGAAGGAATTATAGACCAGAGGCATGGGTGTTTGGGATGCCTTCTATATAACATTTTAGATGGCTAGATTTGACGCTTCTCAGTGAGCAGGGTATTGGTCTGCCATCAGGAATGTGTTTTGTTTTGGTTTATTTGTGACTTTCTTTCCTAGTTTGTTCTTTTCCAGCCACTTTTGAAATGTCATCTGACAATCAGAGTCGTCTGTCAGTGAGGGCCATCAGCCTCCCCGGTGCTTTCAGGAGCTGATAGAGCCATCTCATTTGCTTTGTTCCATTCTAATATGGTCATCCTTGTTTTGCCTCGCACACATTCTCTCAGGCCGTAGCCGTACTCGATGCCATGTACTTTACTACTGTACACAGCGTAGGCCACCATCTGCAATCGCATCAGTAGCTTCAGAGTACAGATCCTCGCCTCAACTTCACCTGCTGAGAGGACGTACTCACTGAAAAGCTGGACTCCATCAAAAAACACCTCATCCCGCTTTCTGTTTGTTGGCAGCCAGTCTGCTGGTTTGTTGCATTGCTTGGACAGAGCTGAACATTAATGAGGCTGCCCATCATGTGTGCCTCGAGAGGAAGTCCACCCTCCCTCCCCACCTCCAACATGGCCTGCCAGTCTGCAAGATCTCTCCTGCAGCCTTACTCCTGTTTTCATCCCTTCATTAGGGCTTTCTTCTTTGAATGCCATGTTTTTAACTTGCCTTAATCCCTCTTGCTTTCTTTCCTTTCAGTATTTTTATGTCCTCCTGCTAATTGTTTCCATGTGTCATATGCTCTGTAGGCATTTGAAAACCTGGAGTAGCAGTAGAGAGTAGACAAAAAATATAATTTGCAAATTAGCCTCTGGCCTTGTCATATGTGACACTGGTTACATGAAAGCAGGTGCAGGTGTTGGCCTCCTTTCCCAATTTTGAATAAGCTTCTGTAACTGAACCATGTTTTGAAATCAAGTTCCTGCTAAACAAAGAGTCACGGTCACACGATGTTCCACTGGCAGTTGGTTGAAAACATGTTTTTATCGTTAGTTGCCCAGTCAAATTTAACTACTGGTTTTACTTCTCTTTTTTCCCCCCTCTCACCTTCTCCAGGGCATCTGGCGCATTCCAGTAGATGAGATTGATCGTCCAGGAAGTTTTGCATCTCATATGAACCGGTCTATTGTCCTCTTGCTGGAGGTGCTGTCTCAACTTAAGGATCACGATACTCTGTTGAAAGTCTCTTTCATGCTGCAGAGAACCCCTGACCAGGGAAAGTAAGGACCAGCTATGTATGATACCTCTTTTTCTGTTATGCCTCATGTAGTTTTCCATGACTTCTCCCCTCTTGCTTCATTCTTTTTCATCAAGGAAATATTTGCGGGATGTTGATCGCCAGGTTTTGGCCAAGAGAGCATTCTTCCTAACTGTAAAAGTCCTGGAGGACAATCTGAACAGTCTCACAAGGGTAAGGAAGCACAACTCACTGTACACACACAAAGAGCTGAGAGCTGCGCAGCGTTTTAGACATCTGGCATGCACCCACTCCATGTTTTGACAGGCTCTGTTTTCCTTCAGTTGTCTGAGCAGCTTCCCAAAGTGCCTGCATCCTCCATGGGGGAGATGACCACAACAGACGCATCCAACAGGCCCAGTTCAGAGGAGAGCAAACATGCACTGCCTAAGAAGCCTGGGCTTACAGAGGGAGCAAGTGCCACTGACACAGAGCCCAGAGAAGCTTCCCAGGTACAACTTACCCCATCGCTGCCATCCACAGATAAAGGGAGCAAGGTTCAAGAGAGCTACCCTGGGAAGGTGGAGACTGCTGGGATTGAGGGCCACAAAGCAAGGCCAGAGGAACCCATGGAGCTGGACAGTGGCCACTGGAGGAAGCCAACTACCACTACAGATTCTCAGGGCAACCAAACACAGGCTGAGACCTCCCTAAGTGCAGTAGAGCCCCAGCAGAGAGGAACTGACAGCATCCGGACACCGGAGCTGTCTCTAGAGGAGCTCAGTATCAGTTCCAGACAGCAGCAGCTCCAAGCCTCAGCACCCAAGGTCACTGTGGCAGCCAGTGGGACTGAACAGGGGTTGGTCCGAAGGCTGAGCAGGAAAAGGAAACTTATAGAGGATGTGGAGTCGGGAAAAACCCTACTGCTTGATGCCTATAGAGTGTGGCAGCAAGGACAGAAAGTCACGACCTATGACCTGAGGAGCATTGAGAAGATCATGTCAGAGACTTATATGCTCATAAAACAGGTATACCTCTTCACACCATGTACCTTTTGTTGTGTATACACGTTTGTTGCCAGTATATGTATGAGCTGGGGTTTTTTTTTTTTTTTTTTCCTTTGCAGTGTCATGGATACTTGATATGCCCTCCTCAGTTAAACTGGGCTTGGGAAACCCCCCGTCTAACTGAATTAGTAATACAACAAACACTGTAGAACAGGGGATTTCCCTCTTTCAGTCTCTAACAATCAGCTCGTACAATCAAGTGTGGCTGTTCTGTTACTGTCAGCCACCCAAATTCAACATTTTGGACTTTCTGCTGATACTACTGAAACAGGCTGCTGATGCCAAATGTTACAGGATACTTTATTTTTAAGATGAGTTGTATTGGTGTGTTTTTAAAATGAGGAGCTACAGTGGATTGGTCAGTTTTATTTATTTCAATTAAGCATGTCAAATTGATGCATTTCATCACTGCATTCCCACAATGTACAAATTGCAGTGAGTGACCCTGAAAATGTATATTGAATGCAAATTTTAAATTATTTTTTAATCTCTACATCAGCCAATGTATATGTCAAAAAAGTCCTCAGCTGTTGAAAGTTAGTCCAACTTCTGGGCTTTTTACAGCATAGATAATGTGGTTGCAGAGCAGCCCACATCATCCTATAAAGCCACCCCGAGCTGCAGATCAATGCTGGCCCCACAAAGGTTGCCCTGTCATCGGCTGTGGAATGCCAGAGAGCTGTAGCTGGAGTGGGAGGGCAGTACGAGAGTGACAGGGGAGGAGAAAAAAGAAATTGGAGGAAATAGGCCAGCTTCAGCTGCTTATTGTTTTTTTTTTTTTGTGTGTAGGTGCTTGGGTTACAGCTAAGATTTATTTCCTTGTGATCTTTAACAGGCAGCAAACAGGGCGTTTTCGCAGACACATCCATAAGAGGAAAGTAGCCAGAACAAGCCATGACATGTCTCCTGTCACCAAATAAGTTATGCAATTAATATGCCTGGACATTTTCCAGAAGCACCTTCTTATTGTGCACTTCCTTGCACAAACTGCAGAAGCTTTGTGGTTTTATGGTCTGCGACACTGCACAGCTGCACGGAGTTGTTCTTTAAACTCTTGCACCATTTTCATTCTCATGTATGTTATGTCAGTACTTCTGTGTATACAAGTCAGATATATTTTTTTTTCTCAGCTAACTGTTAACGTGGTGCTATTCAAAGGCCTACTAAAGTGTGGATTCTAGACGCATGGTATTTCCTGCCATCAAAGTAGTTTCAACTTGACAAGTCAAGAGTTTTGCCCATGAAGAGGTTCAGCTACACATCATCTACCTATCAGCAGCCCTTCTACATTTCACAGCCGTGATCATGACCTCAAATGACTGCGCTCGGGTGTTATCAAACATCGTCTGTTAATGACAGTGTAGCATTTCCTCCTGTCTCTGAAAGCTGTGTTGGACCTCCACACCATCCACAAGGCTTCTCCAGCTTTAGTCAGTTAGATACACACATAAGTCCACAATATTACTGAATGCAATCACATTAAGCAAATGGTTTTATTTTAGAGAAAGGTGACAGAGATGTCTGGTTGAAATTTGCCTCATTCTAACCATAATCATTATGAGATATAGAGAAGTTGTAATTGGCAAGTAGGGCTGTACCCGATGGAGAATTTTGTCAGTCGGCTGTTCAGTGCAACTATTCGTTTATTTTTTTTGTTTGTTATATATAGATGTGTGTATGTGTGTGTGTGTGTGTGTGTGTGTGGCCTAGACTGTCAGCAAATCAACTGGATGAATTTCACTGATGAGTTCAACCATATTAACACTGGTAATCAAATGCAAAAGACTTAGAGGAACATATTTCTGAGCACTGAAAAATCAAAGACAGCTGTATATTATGTATATATTTTGCATATACATAATATGTGGCCTATTTAAATTGTTGTTTTATTTCATCAGGTTGCCATATGGATTTGTTGAAATAACGAGACAGGCAGCATGATTGTGTTTCTCTTGAAATAATGCTCTTATAGGCAAGTTTTTCTTCTAAGACACAGTTGTAGCCTAGTTTACCAACATGTTTGAGCTGCTCTTGTCAGTTAACCAGCACATGTTGTTACAGTTGATGCGTGTTAGCTTGCACTGCTAAAGAATATAAGAATATTTATGATTCCTGTGATTTTGAATTTCTCATTGAAATGTTTTCCTAACACACTTTTGTTAGCTTCGTAGTCCCCCTTGCATGGATACATGTTACAGAAACAGTCGGTAAAAGCCTGTGCATTGCACTTTAATTGAGATGGGAAAACAACCCGGATGCACATGTGCAAAACCAGCCACATCGTTGTGAGTGATGGACTTTTTTTCTTATAAAAGTAGACCACAGTGTGTGAAAACACTTCTAATAAAGTACATATCTCACCTTGATGTGGCTTGCCCAAATGGGCTTTGTTGCCCTCTTCTCCTTGTCCTGGGCTGCAATTTGCTGTCGGACCTTGTCCATCCATGCATCATACAATGCCACCATTGAAGTGGCACACCAAAATGAGGAGAAGACAACAAGCTACTTTCTATTGTAATGCACACTGGCTGACAAAAACATAATAAAGTAAAAAAGGCTCGACTAGAAAAGTCGAAGTTGCCTGAAGGGTCTCTCGACTAATGACTTGACTAGTTGACTTTTATGGAGCAGCCCTATTGGCAGGTGTGTGTGGTTTGACAGGGAAGGCCTGCAGTGAGTTAGACATGAATGAACAGCAGAGTGCTGTCTTCATTGACGCACGGAAGCATTGACTCAGTCCATTTAACAACTGGAATAATTTGCAAAGTGGAATAAGGCTCTTGTAAAATCCCTCTCTTAGGGGGTCCCTGTACTGCAGCATAGAACAGGCTGCTCTGCAGCTGTGTGAACAAGATTACTGCTAAGTGTACGATGTTGTGATGAAGCTAAACTCACCAGCTGCCACGTCCACTAGCTGTGAACTTACTTGTGCTGTTATTAGATGCAGCAGCTCAGGAGAAATCCTGCTGGCTCTGATACAAAATCAGGTGGATTTGCTGGTTTGGTATTTGTGTGAAGACACAGCAAGTCATTAGCCTGGTATGTGCACAGGACTGGTCACTTCAAAATATATGATCAGTTTGCAGTAGCACACTTGCTACTCCAGTGTTTCATCAGGAAGGTTCACTGTGGATTTAGAGATGTGTGGAAAGATTACATACAGATGACATAATGGAATATAGCTGAGTATATGAAGATGTTTTGCTCTGCCTTAATGTCTTTGTTCTGCCATCTCAGGTTGATGAGGATGTAGCTCTGGACCAAGCTGTCAAGTTCTGCCAGATACAGTTGGCCGCTTCCGCACAAAGACAGGTAACACGGCATGCTCGTTTGTCAGCTTTCTGCTGCATATACAGTTTGTCTCCCTGCTATTTAGAGAGCTACATGTACATTCTGTCTATGCATTTCATCCAAGTTGGTGCCAAATACTTGTTTTTTTCCTTTATGTAATTGGGTCTTGCATAGCTTCCATGATTTAAAGCTTTACTCAAAAGATATTTGTGATACAGCAGCAGTAGTTTAATCAATTAATAAACACTGTTTTGTTTAGCCTTTATATGTGTTTGTGTAAAACAATGGCAAAAGAAAATATCAAATAATGAAATTACCGTATCGAAGTAATGTGGCATCTGTAGTAAAATGTGCCAAACTGATGATTAACTTGGTAATTCCCAGATTTATTCAAGTCCACCCTGCTCTAGCCTGCCAGTACTAAATATATGGTGTGAATACCCCCTGTTGTCTCTTCAGCTTCACTCAATAGTTGTTTAACTTGTCATTGGTTTCAACTAAGTACTGGTATACACGTTGCTTATTTGCACAGGTAAAGTGTATAGGATTTACTGTACAAGACACCGTGACAGAGGTATCTAAAAGCATTATGCAAGTATGTCTAACTGTAGTAAGTCTAGTGGTCCAACCACTGCTTTGTCTTCAGTACTCGTATTCCTCGTGGAATCATTAGTAGCTCTGCCTCATCCTCACATCCCACCTCCTACCCACACAGATATCAAGGGTCTCTGTGCCCACATCCTGTTGTCACGGTGACGTTCCTCGAAACCTTAGGCTCATGAGAAGTAGCTGTGGGCAAAATAAATCTACGTTTTGCTTGTTCACTGATCTTATCATTTATTCTGCATGATTCATGATTGCCTTTTTGTTTTGGTTCTATTTGTCTTTCCATTCGTCTGTCGAATTTTCACACATAAGCACTCCACATGAGGACTGAAATTGGAGATGAGGGACCGAGCTACAAGCCACATTTCTCTAATATATAAAAACCTGTGTGATATTGGAATTCTCTTATCACTGAAACAGCTGTGTGGTCACTATAGAACTCTGCTCTCTTTCTTTGTTTGTTGCATAAATCTGATGCATTTAATGTTTGCACCAGATTTCTGACACAAGGTGACTTCTTTCAAAATAAACTGCACACAATTATGCTTCACCTTAAAATTCAAGAGATCGGCCTACTACAGAAATGTTCAATAACGTTACTCTCTTACCCAGTGTAGTCTTATCAGAATTACTTCATACATCAGTGGCTGTCGGCTGGTTATACTGCAACACTTAGTTGAGGAAAAAGTTTTTTGTTCATAATTTTGGTGGATTTTTATTGGGAAAAATATTCATTAACTTCACTGTTGGACAGTAGTGTCCATCAAATTCACTCATTATGGATAAGCTGACCTCATGGAAATGAATTATTTTGTATGTCTGAAGCTGCGTCAGGCAGAAGAAGCAGAGCAGACTGGTGCAGGAACAGCTACGTCTTCACTGCCTCAAGTGAGGCTCTAATTTGGGGGGTCTGTCCCTACCGATGTTGAGACTAAACCTTACGCCCCTGTTACAGTTAATTGTAATGTAGAAAATATTACTTTGCAGAATCACAGAAAATTCACACAAAAAAAAAAAACAGGTGGCAACGTTGAAATCCTAAAGTGGGCGGAAAAAATAATGTTCACAGTTGAACAAGAAAGAAAGTTATAGTAGCTCACATCCAAATCATACATCTGAATAATTTGTTTTTCCCTTGATTCTGATCAGTTTTTGTTGACGAAGAGTTTTAACATGTGGAGACTTAACCAGAAACTTTCCAGTCCCCTGACTTCTGTTGTCGCTGTTATTACTGTCGGGTGTACATGGCGTGGCTGTTGACTGGTTAGACATTAAAATTAGCCTGCAGGAGGTGGTTTGTGTTCTCGCATTGCGATGATACTAAGACAGGCTGCTTCTGCATACAAGCTCACTTTACAGTCCAATCTAACTGCTGCTGCTGTGTAATTATTGTGCCACCAGCTCATGTCGTGGTTTACTTTTGGCTTTACTTGTGTGGAGTGGGAAATGCGAGTAGGCACCATGGAGTTCATGGTGAGAGGAAATGAAAAATTCTTGCTGGCTTCTTTCGCATTCTCACACCTTCCTTGAAGCGCCCCCACTAGTGTGGAGCAAGATCTGCCTGTAAAGTACTGAGCCGGAAAACCGGCCGCGTTGTGGAGGAAGGCGTTTCGAGGCTAAATGACCTGTGCTCTCTGTTACCAGGATTGTAGTTTTTCCTCATCTCTACATATGGAGATAATGCAGCTTTTTGAGAGACTTGATGGCAGTGCTCGATTAAAACACTCCAGTCTCACCCTGTGTATATCAGCAGATTTGGAAGAATATTAAGGTTTTGCTCATCAAGGTATACAGGTGTGTGCTTCACAAAGGAGCTCCAGTGTCAGTCCCATTTGGGCACGCAGTTTAATTAAAATGTTCGGTTGGCTGGTCTTTCAATTGTTTTGGAAAAAACAACCAAACCTGTGCACGACATCTACAGCTGCTGTAATCCCACTGAAAGCCCAATCTCAATAATAGCAGAGAAGCATCTTTAATTTCACTGTGGGACCTGAGTCTGGCTGGCAGCAGCCCACTCACACCGCACAGCAAATGCTCGGGAAACCTACAGACCGGCTGCATGCTATGTGCTGCTATTTTCTCAGGTACAGTGTTGTTCGAATGCACACAGTCCAGCTGACTTGTTGGTGTCTTTGTTGGCAATGTTTAATTCATGAGATGTGAATCATCAAAGCTGGCTTTGGAGCTGGTGCGTGCTTGAAGCTGCTGTGCCGCTCTGCGTTGGGCTGAAGGATAAATCGCTGTCTAAGGTTTTGGAAGGCTATTCTGTTTGTTTGCCTGTGCTCCCGTGGGGAGCTTCATCATACACAGCTCTGATTCAGAGCAAAATTCGATTTCAGCTCCCAGCAGAGAGCGTGAGAAAAATGGTATGAGAGCTCCGTTACTGCCAAATTATCTCGTGCTGACATACTGTATCTGTCAAAGGCTGCTTGTCATGATAGTCGGTTAATGTGGTCCTAATTGTTGCCTCAAGGCTTTTGAAATCCTGAAGAAGTTGTAATACATTTCAAGAACTCATATGAAATATGAAATCATATTTACTTTTTAACATGTCAACATAATTAGTATAGTTGTATGTAGCCTTCCACTGGATAAGAATACACTAGTCATCGTTTTAAATGTTCACAGTTCGTGCATTAACACTGAAGAGCGGATTTAAAGCCTTAAAGGCAAGTTTTCACCCAATTCATGATCAGTTTTCATTTTTAAAGAAAACTGGGCTCCTCTGTGTTGCCATGGCAGTGGCTGCAGGAGCAGGGCGGCTGTTGTCACTGGTTGTTTGTGCAGCTCTTGTGTTTATAAGTGGTCCTCATAAAGACACCCAGGAAAGTGGCTCAGAGGATGTAGCGTACAGCAGAGCTGTGCTCCTCATCAGCACCCAACAGCAAGTAAGTCTTTGAACGCCCGGGGATGACAC